ACATGCAAGTGTCTTTGATTTATGGACAAGTGTTCGAATCCCAGTCCAGGGGGCGCTGTCGGTCCGCCCTGCCACGCCCGGGTACCAGCTTCAGTCCGGCCCTGATGGCCACGGGTTCTGACCCGTGTGCAAAGTTTCAAGAGTTTTAGAGGATGTTAAGGGCCCCAAAAGCCCCCAAAACCTTGATCAACAATAATTAAAAGCTTTGTCACTCAAACAGACACATCCCCCTCCCCCCACAGACACAGAGGTATGCAGAGAGAGGGAGAGAGTGACAGAGATTACTCCAAAACATCCCATTCAAACCAAAATATCTGACTTCCTGTTGTTCGGAACCAAAATCTGTAAATTAGAAAGTTGTCCGGCTTGATCTGAACAATATGCCTACCGAGTTTTAAGATTGCAGGTAAAACTATGAAACTAACCCTCTCACTTTTGTCAAAAGGTGGCGCTACTGAGTCCCTGCACCACGCCCGTTCCTGAAACTTTGCACATGTCTACTGGCTAATATATGTGACATGTCTGTCGAGTTTCATGCAATTTCAAGCATGCTAAGAGTCTCAAAAGCCTCAAAAAAGAATTTTGAAGTTTGATGTGTTGCCACGGTAACAGTATCAAAGATATCAAGAATCCATTCACAGGTCTACATCTGGCGTATGTTTACATTATAGTAGTGAAGTTTGAAGCAAATCGGGTAAAAATAAGAGGGTGCTTTCAAAGCATTTTGAAAGTGACACACTTCCTGCTGCCAGTTGGTGGCGCTATAACTTTGATTCACAAAAGTCACATCCATGTGATCGGCCTCTTACAGCGAACACACTGCTGAAGTTTCATCAAGATCAGTTAATGTATGTAGAAGTTATAACACACTTCCTGTTTCACGTTTCTCGCCATAATTTCGTTTCCTCGCCACGGCCAAACCGTTCGAGATATCAAAAATCCCCTCACAATTTTTCATCCTCAATGTCTTGAGTTCATGCTGACCGAGTTTCGTGGCATTTCTTTGAATTCTCTAGGAGAAGTACTTTAAATTCCATTGCATGCGTTTTACAAACAACCCTAAATAGCCGACTTCCTGTTGGGCTGGGGTAAAAAGTAAGAGCATGAAGTATATATGAACCGATGAGGTCTATATGTGTACCGAGTTTCATATTCTTACATACAAGCGTGTTTGATTTATGGACCAAGTTTTCGGAGCCCATTCCAGGGGGCGCTGTCGAGCCCCCCTGCCACGCCCGGGTACCATCTTCACCCCGACCCTGATGGCCGCGGGTTCTGACCCGTGTGCAAAGTTTCAAGAGTTTTCGTGCACGTTAAGAGCCCCAAAAGTGCCCGAATAGTCGTAAGAAAAATAAAAGAGGAGAAAAAAAAAAAAAATAATCCTAAGGAAAACAATAGGGCCTTCGCCTTTTCAAGGCTTGGGCCCTAATAATAATAATCCTAAGGAAAACAATAGGGCCTTCGCCTTTTCAAGGCTTGGGCCCTAATAATAATAATCCTAAGGAAAACAATAGGGCCTTCGCCTTTTCAAGGCTTGGGCCCTAATAATAATCCTTAGGAAAACAATAGGGCCTTCGCCTTTTCAAGGCTTAGGCCCTAATAAAGAAGAATAGCAAATAATCCTAAGAAGAACAATAGGGCTCTGCGCCCTTTCAGGGCTTGGGCCCTAATAAATAATCCTTAGGAAAACAATAGGGCCTTCGCCCTTTCAGGGCTTGGGCCCTAAAAAATACAAATTAAAAACCAGTGCTTTAAGTTTTTCAGGCAGATGTGCTAACAGTATTATTCAGTCTACAACAGAAACTGAATAAAGTAATCAAATGTTAAATAACACTGTATAGTCTTAACTGTATACGTGTAGATTAATCCTTATTAAAGCTACAGCAGTTATTCATTCAAGAGCAGCCAATGATTTTACCTATGTTTGATTAACATTAATGACACAGACTGAAGCAGTGATATTGAGCTGCTGTCACTTTAAGACCAAATGCACGGATCCAATACACTGTTACACACGTGTTTTTTTGTTTACCTTCACTTAACACATAAAAGACATTTCTGAGAGTAGGCTATTTGACCATTTAGGTGTGAATCCAAAGCCCACAGAATACTTTGCTTATATTATGCGCATTCCACCCTGTCTCAGAGGGCGTACAGAAAGCCGCCTTGGGAACAGTGTCTCTTTTGCAGATTAATGCGCTTTTAATGACACTGTTTAATATCAGGCTCGTCTTGCAGTTTAGTAACAGTAGACTTCATTTTACAACACTCGGCTAATTTGTATGTTAAGTTTGGCTTAGGGAGGAATGAAAGCGCACCGCTGAATGTGGTGAAAATCGTTTTACTTTGATTATCCTAATCGTTGGAAGCCAAAATCAAAATCGAAAATCAATTATGATTAATCGCACAGCCCTACGACGAACACAACAGATCTTTTTTACCCAAAAGAAGGTACATACACTCACCGGCCACTTTATTAGGTACACCTGTCCAACTGCTCGTTAACACTTAATTTCTAAGCAGCCAATCACATGGCGGCAACTCAGTGCATTTAGGCATGTAGACATGGTCAAGACAATCTCCTGCAGTTCAAACCGAGCATCAGTATGGGGAAGAAAGTTGATTTGAGTGACTTTGAACGTGGCATGATTGTTGGTGCCAGAAGGGCTGGTCTGAGTATTTCAGAAACTGCTAATCTACTGGGATTTTCACGCACAACCATCTCTAGGGTTTACAGAGAATGGTCCGAAAAAGAAAAAACATCCAGTGAGCGGCAGTTCTGTGGGCGGAAATGCCTTGTTGATGCCAGAGGTCAGAGGAGAATGGCCAGACTGGTTCGAGCTGATAGAAGGGCAACAGTGACTGAAATAACCACTCGTTACAACCGAGGTATGCAGCAAAGCATTTGTGAAGCCACAACACGCACAACCTTGAGGCGGATGGGCTACAACAGCAGAAGACTCCACCGGGTACCACTCATCTCCACTACAAATAGGAAAAAGAGGCTACAATTTGCAAGAGCTCACCAAAATTGAACAGTTGAAGACTGGAAAAATGTTGCCTGGTCTGATGAGTCTCGATTTCTGTTGAGACATTCAGATGTTAGAGTCAGAATTTGGCGTAAACAGAATGAGAACATGGAACCATCATGCCTTGTTACCACTGTGCAGGCTGGTGGTGGTGGTGTAATGGTGTGGGGGATGTTTTCCTGGCACACTTTAGGCCCCTTAGTGCCAATTGGGCATCGTTTAAATGCCACGGCCTACCTGAGCATTGTTTCTGACCATGTCCATCCCTTTATGGCCACCATGTACCCATCCTCTGATGGCTACTTCCACCATGTCACAAAGCTCTAATCATTTCAAATTGGTTTCTTGAACATGACAATGAGTTCACTGTACTAAAATGGCCTCCACACTCACCAGATCTCAACCCAATAGAGCATCTTTGGGATGTGGTGGAACGGGAGATTCGCATCATGGATGTGCAGCCAACAAATCTGCGGCAACTGTGTGATGCCATCATGTCAATTTGGACCAAACTCCCTGAGGAATGCTTCCAGCACCTTGTTGAATCTATGCCACGAAGAATTGAGGCAGTTCTGAAGGCAAAAGGGGGTCCAACCCGTTACTAGCATGGGGTACCTAATAAAGTGGCCGGTGAGTGTATATTGTATTTCATGTTACGTTTTTGTTAATCTTGATTTCTCAAGAGAGTGAACTGCGATGCTAATAGTCTCACAAACGTGCACGTCGAGTAGTAGTGCACAGAAGGCCAACAGCCAAGGTCAGGATTTCCATAAGATGATACATTAAATTTCGGTTTGTTTTTCACCAAACCCTATCGTCTACCCCTAAAACACTTAGAATATAAAGTGTCGCATGGGATCATTCTGCTTGATGCTGGTCGCTATTCACTGCGATTAAATGGATGAGGGCGAGTGGGACATTTTTTTTAATTCTCCTTTTGTGGTCCATAAAAGAAAGAAGGGTATGTGGCATTAGAACAACACCAGGGTGAGTAAATAATTATTTTCATTTTAGGGTGAACTATCCCTTTAAAGGGTTAGTTCACCCAAAAAATAAAAAATAAATCATCACTTACTCTCTCATGCTATTCCAAACCCATAAGATTTTCATTCATCTTTGAAACACAAATGAGGATATTTAAAATGAAATCTGAGAGATTTATGTCCCTCCATTGAACTTCCAAATTGTCGCTTGAAAAAGTTCACAAAGAGATCTTAAAAACGAATCCATATGAATCAAGCTGTTTAGTCCAAATTTTCTGAAAAGACTTGATGGATTTATATGATGAACAGCTTGAATTCAGGCTTTTTTATTCACATATAAACAGTGATCAGCGATCATAAACAGAAGCTCAATCGTACTTGCTTGACACATGAGAACAAACCTCTTTGGTTCTTGCAGAAGCTCAAACATGCTGTGTAACAAAAAAGAATGAACCTCATTGGTTCTTGCACATCAAACAGTCATGCTGGGCTTCTGTTTACCATTTCTGATGTGTGTGTCGATGAATGTTTATGTGCACAATGTAATGTGAATGTGAATAAATGCCTAAATTAAATCTGTTCATCATATAAAGCTATCATGTCTCTTCAGAACCTAGAGACTAAACCGCTCAATTCATATGGATTAGTTTTAATCTCATTAAGAACTTTTTGAAACATCAAAGTGGTAGTTGCATGGACTGTCAATGGAGGGACAGATTAAATAGATTAAAATATCTTCATTTGTGTTTCGAAGATGAACGAAGGTTTGGTTTGAAATTACATGAGGGTGAGTAAATGATGTCAGAATTTTCATTTTTGGGTGAACTAACCCTTTAAATGTATACACATACAAGTACCTTACCTGGAGGTGAATGCTAACATGCAAAAAATCTTAATTCACTAATTGAACACTAATTAAATCTTAAATACAAAATTATAAATATCTACAGAGGTGTGATGTAAAGACTTTCCATGGTGACAAACACACCTTAAGAAGGTTGGACGCAGCACGGAGGCTCATACGAGCCACAGATTCTCTTTTTCTCCTCGGCAAGCGTGTGTAACCCGAGCGCTGGCTGGTGAATGAGCAGAGAGAGGTCACACCTGGGGTCCAAGGAGAATATGCTGTATGGGGTGTCCGCGGTGGCTCAGACTCTTCATAACGGAACTGCCGCCCACGAGCCAAAGGATCCACAATCTTAAGAGCGACAGAGAAAAAGATAAAAATGATTAATTAGTGATGGCAATAAAATTAAAATACACACATATTAACTGACCAAATGCCCTTAATATCTTGTTAAAGGATTCAAAGCTACATAGAAACTTGAGCATCCATAAACCGAGTATATTAAAGCAATAAGCCCCGCAAAGCCGTGATTTACAGTGAATTTAGAACAGCTAAGGGGTGTTGTTAGGCACGACGCAGAGCGGAGGGTTGCAAAACCCCCTTAGCTGTTCTAAATTCACTGTAAAACATGGCTTCAATGGGCTTATTGCTTTTATAAAACGGTTACTCCATAAAAATATACATTTGACTATTTATTTTATTCATAAAATAAGCACCAGCAACAAAAAATATAACATTATAATCAGTGTTGCCAGATTGGGACGGTGATTTCCAGCCCAAAAGCTCACCAAAACCCGCCCACTACAAGAAAAAACCGCCCAAAATTTTACTGCCAAAATAATGTGATATAATTTCATTACCATGTCATTTAAGGTTGATAAGCACAATTTGTATCTCCTTAAAACAAAATAACGATGATAAAATAAAATAAAAAATAAATAAATTTTCCAGCAAAACAGATCAAAACAGGGCAATAATTAAGGAGAATTAGCCAATATGACTAAAATGTCCATGTGGACACTGTCAAAACGGCAATCAAGAAACGAACCGATGACTTTAACCCTCGGAAGTACACATTGCAGAACATAACGCAGAATTTAGCAGTCAAAACGGATTCATCGTTGATTCAAACCTTTTTCAGCAGCTGTCAGGGACAAGTAGAGTGCAGTCTGGATGGTGTAAAGTTGCAGATGTTTGGTTAGGCTAGTGTGCACATATGACATGGACAGGAATCGTCCCATATTTGATTTCAATTCAAGTCATTCAACTGTGCTCTCCTCTCAGAGTTATATTCACCATAGAGTGATCTCCTTCCACGTGTGCGTTTTTTAGAGTTGCTCACTAATGTACACTCTTTTGTATAGTAGGGCTATATGTCACTTTGCCTTAGCGATCACTTGAATATACAGCTACAACTTCTCGCGCTCAATCGCGTCTGCCTGCGGATCGCTGATTGGCTAAAAGTGCGTGCTCGTCGGTGATGTCAACACTAACGCCAGCTGACTCTGCATGAGCGTGTGTGTGTACAGTAATGTCATGATGACTGATTTTATGGACTACATGCACTTTAGTTTCGTTTTTTTTTAACCAATTAGACTTTAAAATGTAGATGTTTGAAAACCGCCGAAATGATCCCAAACCAGCCCAAATTTTGACTACCCGCCCAAAGCCTTTTTTACCCGCACAATCAAATTCAAAACCACCCAATCTGGCAACACTGATTATAATACATGTAAGTTATAGAGGGAATGCATTAACGTCACTTCCCCGCCGGAACACGCCCTCCTCAGCGGGACTGAGTGGCAGAAGAGCTGCTGCGTGACTGGAGTTAATAGGGGAAACTGCGTTAACGCGAGTAAAACAAACTATTATCAGTTTAAACTAAAAGTTGGACTCAATATAGCGTTCCTTACAACTTATCAAAGATCCAGTGATCCATGGATATTGACATGCAGCCAGGAATCGTGTTTCCTGACATTTATATCTGTCACGGTAGATGTATTCGCTGGTTCCTTCTAGTCTTGTGTTTATGTTGTTGTATGAGTGCACGTGTGCAAGGGGCGTGTCTGTATGTCATTACCTGATCCACTCCAGCTGTTCATCATTACAATCACCAGCTGCAGTTCATCTCACCACGCTTCTTAAACTCACCGCTGTTCTCTCACCTTTGTCAGATCGTTGTTTGATGTTCCCCTGTCTTCTGGTTCGTGTTCCTGCCTGGTGTTTCCTGTTCGTCGTCTTCCGTGTGGATTTGGATCGTCTCACCGTTTGTCTGCACGTCACCGGTATTGACCATCGAAGTCCCTGCGTCACCTATCTCCACCTGGCTCACTGCACCCTGGACTTGTGTGTTTTGTGCTTCTAATAAATATTGTATTATACTTGCGATTGCTTCCTGTGTTTCTGCCTAACATGACAGAACGATCTGACCATGGTATGGAAGCAGCGAGCGCCTCGTCATCCTCACTCGAAGAGTTCATCCATCACAGCATCCGTAGAATGGACTCGCAAGAGAAGGAGATTGGAGATACGGGCCGTGCAGTTCAAGCCCTGGTGACGCAGGTGTCCGAGCTCACCCAGCAGATCCAGCGCCTACGACCTCCCACTGCGCCACCCACACCGGCCGTTCCTCCCGCACCATCAGGAAGCCCCTCCCAGTCAGAACCCCGGCTACCCACCCCAGAGGCATACTCAGGTGAACCGTCATTTTGTAGAGCTTTTTTGACTCGATGTTCTATGCACTTTGCCCTGCAACCTCACACTTTTCAGACCGAGCAAGCCAAAGTGGCGTTTGTGCTGACGCTATTGACTGGGAGAGCGGCACTCTGGGGAACGGCGGTGTGGGAAAACCAAAATCCATGCTGTGCCTCGTTCCAGACCCTCGCCGCCGAGATGAGACTGGTTTTTGACCGTGCGGTCACTGGAAGAGAGGCGGCCAGAACATTGGTCGAGCTACGGCAGGGAAGAAGATCAGTGTCCGAGTTTTCCATCGAGTTCCGGACCTTGGCGGCGGAGTGTGGATGGAACGAGGAGGCGCAGTGGGACATGTTCCTGCATGGGCTGGCTGACCACGTCCAGAAGGAGATCTACGCCCTGGATCTTCCCACTACCCTCAACGGACTCATTGATCTGGCCCTGCGGGTGGACGCTCGGCTGTCCAGAGTCGAGCGTCGAGCCACGCCCACCCGCACACTTGAGGCAGCCGACGGGCTATGATCCAGCGGCAGGGACGTGGTCAGCCCCGTCTACGATCACGAGCCCATGCAGGTGGGTCGAGCTCGGCTTTCCCGGGAGGAGAGGGAGAGGCGGAGGTCCCAGGGCCTTTGCCTGTACTGCGGAGGAGCCGGACACTACGCCTACAACTGTCCGGTAAAAGGCCCAGCCCGATAGTAAACATGAGGCTACTATCGGGTGGGATCTCCGCCAGGAAGACCTCATCCACGACAAGATCTACCTCCACCCTCCTCTCGGTAAGACTAAGATGGTCAGTCCACCAGCACGATTGTCAAGCACTGTTGGATTCGGGGGCCGAAGGTAATTTCATGGACCATAATTTTGCACGCAGATTTCAGATTCCCATCAAACCCCTCCCACAGCAGATTGCAGTTCATGCACTCAACGGACAAGAACTTCCCACCATCTCATTATCCACTGAAGAAATCACTCTCATCACCTCTGGCAATCACTCGGAAACTATTTCATTTTTTATTCTGGATTCACCCCTGGCACCCGTTGTTCTAGGACACCCATGGCTCATTCAACACAACCCCCGAGTGGACTGGATACATAGATCTGTGCTGGAGTGGAGTCAGGAATGTCATAGGTCTTGTCTCGTGTCTGCTTGTTCGTCTGTACCTGTTTCTGTGTTTCAGGAGGAAGCAGGGGATTTGTCTAACTTGCCCGCGGAGTATCTGGACCTGAAGGAAGTGTTCAGTAAGTCTCGTGCTGCTTCTCTCCCTCCGCATCGTCCCTACGACTGTGCAATAGATTTACTCCCAGGTAAGTCTCCGCCTAAGGGCAAGTTATATTCGCTTTCGATTCCTGAAAGAGAGGCTATGGAGAAATATATTTCTGATTCTCTAGCAACCAAGTTCATTCGCCCTTCCTCTTCTCCAGCGGGGGCGGGGTTCTTTTTTGTGGGGAAAAAGGATGGTTCTCTGCGACCTTGCATTGATTACCGAGGGCTGAATAACATCACGGTAAAGAATACTTATCCTTTGCCGTTGATGTCTTCAGCCTTCGAGAGGTTGCAGGGAGCATCCATCTTCACCAAATTGGACTTACGTAACGCTTATCATTTGGTCCGCATCAGGGAGGGTGATGAGTGGAAAACTGCGTTTAACACCCCTAGGGGGCACTTTGAATATTTGGTCATGCCGTTTGGGCTGTCCAACTCCCCAGCAGTTTTCCAGGCACTGGTCAATGACGTGTTGCGAGATATGATCGATCAATTCATATATGTCTACCTGGATGACATATTGATTTTTTCTGCATCTCTCCAGGAGCATGTGCAGCACGTCCGACGAGTGCTTCAGAGGTTGCTAGAGAATGGGCTTTTTGTCAAGGCGGAGAAATGCGATTTTCATGCACAGTCTGTTCCTTTTTTAGGATACATCGTGTCGTCTGAGGGGATGCGGATGGACCCTGAGAAGATTAAGGCTGTGGTGGATTGGCCAAGTCCAGATTCCCGCAAGGCCCTGCAGAGGTTTCTGGGGTTCGCCAATTTCTACCGGCGATTCATTCGCAACTTCAGCCAGCTGGTCGCGCCTCTGACTGCCTTGACCTCCCCCAGAACTGCGTTCAGGTGGTCCGACACAGCCGAGACTGTGTTCAAGAAACTCAAAGGCCGCTTTGTTTCAGCCCCCATTCTAATTACCCCTGATTCATCACGTCAGTTCGTGGTGGAGGTCGACGCATCAGAGGTGGGAGTAGGGGCGGTGTTATCTCAGCGTTCACCTGTAGACGACAAGATGCATCCTTGCGCGTTTTTGTCCCATCGTTTATCTCCAGCCGAACGTAATTACGACATTGGTAATAGAGAGTTGTTGGCAGTCAAGTTGGCGTTGGAGGAGTGGCGTCACTGGTTAGAAGGGTCGGGGGTACCTTTTATCGTCTGGACTGATCATAAGAACCTCGAATATATCAGAACTGCTAAAAGATTGAACTCCAGGCAGGCTCGGTGGGCACTTTTTTTCGGTCGTTTTGATTTTTCTCTCCAATATCGTCCGGGTTCTAAGAACATCAAACCCGACTCACTTTCTCGTATATTTGATTTTTCCGGTCGCCCGTCCACTCCCGAGTGTATTTTACCCGAAACCGTATTTGTTTCAACACTCACATGGGAGGTCGAA